TTCAACTATCACTGACATACTGTCTGCTCTGAGATAAAACAGAGAGAGAACAAGGCCACTGCAACTGGTATTTATTTTAATGTCCTCATCTGTGATTTGTAACTTTGTAACTGCTTGTTATGGAGAACTGCTAGGATAATTAATAAATAAGTCTTAATGACTATAGTAAAATGAAGGATTATGCATGATTTTACCCTCCTGGGAAAACAGAACACCTCGAATTGCATCTCCTGACATGTATAACTGTATTGAGAAGATTCTCTAAACCACACGATTATGGTATTCAACCCAAGTCCAAGCTGCCTGCTGACATGCTCCCTGCTAATGCCCTATCGCAGGCTAGACTCTGCCATGTCTATATTCTTAATATTCTTTTGCAGTTGATTTTTGTAATGAGGCTGTGTATATAACACAGGCTCTTTGAACCATGAAAGATTAAAATGCTGTGCTGAGCTGTGGAAATATTAGTGAAGCCTCTAGTACATCCAAGAACAGGCCCAAGGCTTGTGGAACTTTGGGAACTCATAGCTCATGAATGTTCAACTGTGAGGCACTCACATAATGAACAAGTAAAGTCTAGAGTTACATGTAGGTCGCTACAATTACTTCTAAGGACACTTACTCTTGAGTGCATGCATTCATTTACTAGAACACTGAAGCCTTGTATTACTAAGGTGAAATATTGGGTTCAATTCCAAGGATTACTGTTCTGAAAACTGGCCGCAGAGCTCACCCAAACTAACATTTTATTGCTTTTTGACAGTATTTGCTAAAATTCACATCCCCTAAAGTTTATACAACATTCCAAAAAGGTTCTGAGAAAAACCACTGTCAAAGCCACCACAATATCTTTCTAGTTTCTTCACTGCATAATCTGCATTCATAAAGACAAAATAACATGCATGTTTAAATAATCAAAATACTCTTTTTTATTCTCTCAGGCATTTAGAGTCCATTTCACGTGTTTTAATAACTGGGAGGAGGTAGCAGAAAGCATAGCATTCATGTGCTAGCTGTGCCACTCACATTTGTGCACCCTAAAGCATACAGGGATTTAAACACCAACTCCCTTACCAGTTTACTGTACAGTGGGACACCACATGGACTCTCTTGATAAAAGTTAGTTCTTTCCTCCTATTTGAAGAACCCAAGTGAATATGCCTCCCCAAAGGAGTTTATTATGTCTACAAGAACTAATAATATAATGTGCTCATAAGGCTTTGTCAATTACAGCTTCAACCCTGAAAAGAAAATGGAATAAACCAGTAATTTATGATGACACAGATCTTTCCATTCACTGATTGTAGCTAACTGTGTGGAGACAACATATTCTTTAGACAGGGTTTTGCACCTCACCATGAAAACAGATCATGTGACTCAATTCCTGTGCAGTAGCTACTACCTTTTTCATTCAAATAATGTAAACTGCCTCCAGTAAAAAGACTCCAGTTTTATCTCTTGCCTTACACCCAGCCAACATGGCCCTCTTCAACATAAACCATGGTCCCCCAAGAATGGAGGTCTAACCTTCTTCAAATCTATCACTGAGACACCAAACAGGATTGTTGAAAAACTTGGACTCCCTCAATTTACGACAGAATCAAGCAATCCCTACCAAGTTTTCCCCAATATAATGGGAAATCCTTTTAAAGTATCATAGTTTCTAGGCACTCCTCACTTATTTCTAATGGAATTCAAGCAGTATCTAACTGCCAAAACCCTTAAGCCTTGAACTCCAGATGAGTCAAAATTTTATTATGTGAAAAATTCATTGGTGGCCTTGTTTCCTTTTATCATCTACAAATCATACTTACAACTTGGCTCAAGTATTAGCAGCATGTGGAAACAAATCATTCTGCTCACATACACTGTCAAAGCAGTAAAGCTAGGCAATAAAATTATTCCTCATACACATTGATTCTGTGAACAAAATTTATTTTCACCAAATTTATGTCACCAAAAGGAAAGAAATGTGTGTGACAATGAGACTAACAGGTATTTGCCAATATATGCCGCTTACTTTTTTCTAAATCTGCTAAGGAATGTCTTTAAATTGAATTCATTATTACCTTAAGATATTAATGGTAGAGAACTGTTATACATGATGAGTTATATTATGACTTATCTATGTTGGCTGCTTGGCATTATGCTTCATTCTCTCTGTGAAATAAACAACTGCCACAGAGAAGCCAGTAAGACATTAGCTTCTCCTCTGGGTAAATCTCTAAAGATTCATTTGGGTTAAATGGGTTCCCTTCTGACTACCTGTTCACAAACTCGTCTAATGAGGTGGTGCAGACTAGATGAGTTAAAATGCACTGAATTAATCTTTGGACTGGTGGTACAAGTTGCATAAGTGCTCAGTAAATGCTGGCCTAAACAGATCACATTTGAGGGGAATTTCCTAACAAGACATACCTTAAAAGTGAAAGTCCTGTAAAATATTCAAATTCCAAATAGATTTTATATGGATCTATTATCTATATGATTAATTTAAACCCAAGGGATGAATGTAAAATATCCCCTTCCTCCTTTAGCAACTACCCAAAACATGGTGGTAATGGTATTCCATTAAGAGTTGAAATTATGACTGAGGAAAAGACCTTCTAGAAGGACTCAGCAAATCAGGTAGTTTATGATTGTATGATTACTGTAATCAAGTTTTTGATACTTCAAAACAAGAAAGAGAAATGGATGGATTTGGGGATAAACTGAGGCTTTAGTGTGTCACTGAACTTGTTCAGATTTCTGCCTACTATCTTTTGTTTTTGTTTTTTGAGACAGGGTTTCGCTATGCAGTTCAGACTGGTTTTGAACTCACTAGGTAGCCCAGGCTGACCTTGAAATTGCAGCAATCCTCCTGCCTCAGCCTCCCAAGTGCTGGGATTACAGGCAGTACCACCAAACCCAGTTCTGCCTAATAGTTTTATCTACATTGTACACTATGTAATCATTGGCCTCTCTCTCTTAATCTCTCTCATGATTAAACAACTTGAGAGGATTTAAGGAGTAAGGTGAAGGGGAAATGGGTTGAATTTGAAGAGAAACAGGCCTACTGTTTTGAAACTACACAGTTTCAAATATTGCTTTTTTGGTCAATATTTCTAATTCCAGTTGTTAGAACAAACTGATAATAAGTCCTGGTGTAATGTGATTCACTGATAAGCCAGCCAGGAGGAAGTATTTGTCTTATTTATAGAAAATATTTTTTTGCAAATAAAAAAAAAAAAAGAAACAAAGCTGTAGAAACTGGGCAGGACATTTTCCAAGGGCATATGGTAAAGAAAACACTAGGTGCGTGGTCAGGTGGTGAGAGTACCAGCTTGGTGCACGCCTCACTGGTCACTTCTCTGAGAAAATGGCCGCAGAACTGAGCAGAGCTCTGGAACACTATGTGGCAGATCTAATGCAAAGGGCTTGGAGTGATGGCTCTTATCTTCACAGGGGTAAAAAGCTAAGATTCTTTAAAACATAACCCACATTTTTAGAGTGAGGGCAGCTTGAATAAGAAGTAAATAATTTTTAAAAGTTAACTTAGTGGAGAAAAATAACAGATTTAATATGTAAGAAAAGTCTGCTGGAGATTATTATTGCTTTTGGCACAAGGCCACTATAAGACTTACCGACAGAAGGCTTATGGAATATAAAGGATGTGGGTGGAACACTTTATCTGGGGAAACTATATGCTGTGTTTAGGCACAGATTTAGCTTGAATGAACTAACATCTACAGGTAAAGGGTACAGCCCGAAGCTTCAATAGTTAGAGCCTATCCTAGCAGAGTTCCTGGTTTGGTCACTTAATAAATATTTGCTCAGTGATATAAATGAGGATTTTGATAGGAACTAAAATGAGAAAAGATCTTTGAGGCTTTTAGGAATTAAAACAAGCAAAAGAAAAAATATTCAGTGGGATCACCAGCAGGGGACCAAAAAGTTAATTCAGGCTTTTAATGCTAGATAAAATATGGAAATAGAAATCATCGTTTAGATTAGCCAGTTTTGCTATAGTTGGGAAGACATGAAGTGTCCATAAATTAACGATTGAGAAAAGGTATAGATGAATGAAGTATGTGAAGATAAAAACTTCAGGTTTTATTGTAAGTAGTTTAAGTTAGTAACTAAAGCCTATAAATGATTTTAGAAGCACCCAGTAGGCATAAGTTAAAGTATTATTAGACTGCTTGCAAATGTTTCATGAACAAAAATATTTTTATAGTAAAACCATGTAAAGTTGATATTAATAAGACACTGAAAGCAAATATTAATAGAAATGAGCATTATTAATGATGCAGCATTTGACACAATACATGTATGTAACTGTTCTAGAAAAGCTTTATAACAGATCATGGCTGGGCATATAGCTCAATGGGTACACTGCTTAACCAGCAAATGCAAGGCCCTGAGTTCAATTCTTAGTACCACCAAGAAAAAAAAAAAAAGAAAAAAAGAAAACCAAACAGACCACAAACTATATACTTTTATTGCTGCAAGTTAATATTTGATACTATATAGACTGTCTGTCATGCTTCCACAACACCAATTATTGCAAAATCAACTTCCAGAAAAAATTTAAAATGTAGAAAGTGTTACTGATAAGACTTACAGAAGTCATACCAGCTAAATAATGAAAGCCACACTGTAAACCAAGTATAATCAGAAGCCAAGTTATATTTCAACTTTTAATTGGCTGCACTTTTACAGAGAGAAAAAAATTCTTTTTATCTTGTGTACCAATTTGCTCTAAACTGAAATTGTCTTTTGATGATCAAAAGGCAGGAAACAGAAAGAAGCCAAGTCCAAGTCTTATTATTGATTAACCAATTAACTTTCTAGGAGAGCTGTATATCACCTTTATTAGAAAAGAAACAAAGGGAGCTGAGGAGCTAGGATGAGTTTGAGAGATGAAAGATGTCCTGTTTCTGTGCTGAACTTGGAGAGAGAGGGCAAATAGCTTTGAGGACCTTTGGTAAAGCAGGGTGTGCTTCTGATCTCAGAGAAGAGGCCCACGTGGACTTTAGCAATCTCCAGAGCTCCTCAAAGTTCCAGATGGTCAAGAGCTGAGTCCCACACTCCTGCAGGTAGTGGAGAAATACCAAGGGCCATGAGCTGGTTCTCATACTCCTGGGGGTAGTGGAGAAATATCAAGGACCTTAACTAGCATATCAACTTTCCCGAGTCCTGGGGTTGTAGTGAAGCAACACAGTGATCTCAGGATGCCCAGGAGAGCGTGGAAGCAGAGAGTGGAATTGTTCAGCTGAACATGCAACTGAGTATACCAGTACCAATGACCAGAGCAGACAATGCACATCTCTGAGGGTGTCCTCACAAGCAAAGGCCACCAAGATAAGGTGACAGCCTTTCCTCCCTCAGACCATTGCTAAAAGAAAACACTGCATTATATATTTCTCATTACAAATTCATTTGTTCAGTACTCCCTTTATAAGAATGATAAAGGTAATAAGATATAGGTGCGATATAAAACATTAGTGATACAAAGGAATTTTGAAAAGGAAGAGATTTATATTTCCAGCACATGGTTTAGGTCATTTAGACTCTTCCTTCCACTGAAAAATAACTAGAAATTCTGGTTAGGATATAAAATAATTTAAATCAGAAAATAGCCCATCAAACAGAAAAAAACCAGCAGGCCAAATCTTGGGGGAAAGCAGGAATCTAGAGAGGTAAGCAAGCAGGCAGACACTTTTATCTTCTTGGAACCATATTTGTAGATAGAAGCATATCTGAATGGATTTCAGCAACCTCGCTGGTGGAAAATGGAACAAAAATCAGAATGCAGCCCTCATACAAATGGAGAAAATCTTAAATGTCTTCCTCGCATGAAGCTAGGTTCTTAAGAAACTACCCTAAAAATAAGGGTGAAGCAGAACAATCCACCTCCCACTCCAAGACATCCTAAGAACAGTCACTGTCACGTATAAGCATATGCCAAGAGGGTGGGGGCCCCAGACCTACCTAGATCTTAGGTGTGAAACTGTAACTCAAATTCACACCATCTGGGTGGTCTAAAAGAAATGGCAAGTCTAAGTTCAAGTTGTCCCAGACTAAGATCTGGCAGAAACAAAAGAAAATCTCCTCTGAAAATAGCTATCATTCTAAGCCTCAAGGATTCCCTGAAAGTAACTTTTCATCTAAAATGACAAATGAATTCTGAAATGAATTCTAATGAATTCTGGCGCCATTCATTCTTTTTTCAACAAATACTTATTGAGTACATACTCTGTGTCACTTTTTATGACAGGTGTCCTTTCAGCTGTGATGTGAAAAGATTCCCCAGAGGCTAAAAAGCCAGTTGAGCTACCATTATATTTATGTTTATTTATTTTTACCTTCTGAGTTTTCCTAAGACTTCCAAACACAAAGATTAATGAAAGTCCATTACTATGTAGTGATATATTCTGAGATAAACAGTAATATTTTAGGACTGAGATTGCCATTACAGATAGTGGTTGTTTTATAACATACCACTTAACAACCATTTGGACTTAACAAACAAAGCGTGCAGTTCAGACTTAGGACCTATTACTTGGACTTAGGACCTGTCTCTTTTTTTGTTCATCTCTGTACATCTTCGTATAGGGTTTCAATGTCTTTTTTGGTACAGCACACCTTGTTTATACAATACTGTAATTTTCACTGATTGTACTATATGGTATAGTACTATAGTTTTATGTTTTGTTACACCATTATAGTACTGAATGTAAAAGTTATACAAATAAAAGTGAATGAACTTTCCTCCATTTCTTTGTTCTAAACAGTGTAATGAACATATTTTATACAATTTCTCATCCAGTGACTTGCAACAGGAATGTGACTGGGCCGCCAAATGAGGAATGTCTATATTGATTCGTTCTCAGATTCTCATTTTCTAAAGGTTTCCTGGTTGGGCTAAGACTAATTATGAGCTTGGCAAACCACAGAGTCATATGTATTAACGGAAAACTGACGAAAGACAAAGATAGCCATCACAAAGAGATACAATGCTCAATGCTAACTACATTTATCTTTTTTGGGGGGGAGCATGATACTGGAGATTGAACCTTTGCATTAAGCTGCACTCCTAAGCCTTTTTTATTTTCCATTTTAGCACAAAGTCTTGGTAAATTACTAAGCTGTCCAGGCTGGGCTCAAACTTGTGATTCCCGTGTTAGCCTCCCAGAATGCTGGGGTTACAGCTATGCAGCCCCACCACCTAAGGACATTTATCTCTAACTATCAAAGTCCAAACAGACTTACCTATTATTAGGAATCATAGCATGAATTGAGAAACGTTGATTTTTAAGGTAGTTCTGGGAACAGCTGAAGATATAGAAAGGGTGGGGAGAAATTAGACCGATGATATTTACTTATACATAGACTGCCTTTCTTAATCAAAGCTGTTGGCAAAAATTTACCAATTCAGTATTTGGATTAGTTGCATTTGTCTTTTACCCAGCTTTTTTTTTTTAGTTGTCTTGTCTACACTTCTACCTTTGTTCTCCCTTATTAAGTATCCTGGCAGTTGTCATTTCTTAAGCCTTCAGAACAGTATGACTATCATGCTTTCTTCTAAGTTATGCCAAACCACAAGAGTATAGTGTAACAATAACAAAGGCCATTATTATTCCATTTTACAGATGAAGAAACAAGAGGTCAGAGAGGTTACCTCCTGGCATGAAGGTTCAGAGGAGCAGGAGCTTTGATGTTGGACAGACTTGAATTTAAATTGTGCCCCCTTCCTGGTATTTCTCTTCCCCTAGGGACCAGGCTCTGGGTTTTGTTTCTTTTGCGGTGCTGGATCAATCCAAGGCCTCATGCATGCTAGGCAAGTGTTCTATTAGGGAGCTACATCCTCATTTTAAGGCTCAGTTTTCTGAAATAAGGGCTTCTGTGGGGATGAGATATGTCGGAGTACAAGGTTCTAGGAAGTGCTTGCTTCTTCTTCCAGGGGCTTCTCATTTAGACATCCATGTTTACCTTAGGCAGTATCTTCAAATAGTTTTAAAAGAAGCTACTCCAATGAATATAATGTAGTACTGTACAGAATTTCAATATTAAGGAAAATGCACATAAAGGTTTTTAGACCCCTTCATTCCTTCCCAACATACACTTATTTGACCCTTTAAAATATGTAATTTCTCAGTTGGTTATTTCCAGATCCTCGCAACATTATCTATAGGGGCCTTGAAAAAAATGTGACTCCTGGAAATGCTGAACAAGAAAGACCCACGTGCGTATCTTCCCTTCTCCCCAGTCCTCTGGAGGCAGTGTATATACCTCTTCTGCTCCTCTGGGAATCTAGGGAATTCTAGGGAATGGGGTTGGAGGTGAGTCCGGGTGGAAGGGAGGGATGTGACTAGTAAGTGGTTCTTTGGTTTCTACCACAGAAGAAAAATATTACCTTTATAAAAAGAACACTTCATTCTTCGAAGTTATGAGAAAATCATCTGATACTCTTTGATTTAATCCAAAATTACTTACTCTTCCTAGAGTGGTCTGAACTGAAAGGCCATATTCATCTAGAAAGCAGACAAGCACTAGAGAGATGTTCTGTTGGGAAGAAAAACTTGCTAACACAGACTGGGATTACTTTGGTGCATCTGTACTAATTGTCAGTCTGTGTCTTCCACCCAGGTAAAGGATTAGATTTCACCATCTGACACAAAGCAAGGCCTCAACAAACACACCAGTGGTTGCTGTAGGAACTGACCCTCCCCTACTGATTTTGAATAAAACAATGTATAAGATCGGCCCAGCCTCATTCCTGGACTGGCTTCTGATATGAATAAGGCTCACTTTTCAAATAATTTGATTAATTCAGACTTAAATATGTGCAGATCTTAGACCGCAAAATTTCAAATTTAAGGCTAGAGAGACTTTATATGCATTTATAGCTGGCTTGCTGTAAAAAGTACCAATAATAGCAATCTGGCCCTTTTGGGAACACAAGTTGGTAGATGGAGCATAGCTGTTGTAGGCAAAATAAAATTTTTGAAGTCTTGTTTAAGTCAACAGTTTTTAATGGTTATTTAATCCTGTATAGACCTCTCCCCCCAGAATGTTCAAAATATGTGCACACAAAATCCAAAACCAGGTGCTCAAATTCCCCACTCACGACTGTGCAGAGTCCCCACAATGGCTGTGTAAGAACCCTGCCCTCAGTCTTGCACTTGCTCAAGCTCTTGCTAACTGAAAGTGTGAAGGGCCCATTCACCCTTTCTGACTAATGCTTGGCAAAATCCCTATCAGATCCTAAAGGAACTTTTTTATTTGTTTGTTTGTTTTGGAGACAGGAGTCTCAAAGTATAATTCTTATTGGCTTAAGACATTCTCCTGCCTCAGCCTCCCAACTGCTGGGATTACAGGCTTGTGCCACCATGCTGGCCAGAAGTAATTCTTTTTTTTTGTACCAGGGATCAAACTTATAGCCTTGTGCTTCCCAGGCAAGTGCTTATGCTGCTGAGCTACATCCCCGGCCTCAGAAGTAATTCTTGATTGAAGCAAGGAGATGAAAATGTAGCTCCACTGCTATAAAAAATATCCATTATAGAAGTTTGTCATTTAGAACTCTATAGAGAAATGCTCCACTTCAAAATCATCCCTGTAAGAGGTGGCCAGATCCCAACTGTTGTCCTATTCTAACCTAATGTCATTAGTGGTCCAGTTTGGTCTCTTCGAGGGTACAGAGTCCCCATTATCTCCCCTTGCCACTGGAGCCACACTTTTAGCCACCACATACCCCCTCTGCACTCCTGCCCACCTTCTTGGTTTTTCACACTTTCCCAGCCCACCACAGATACTGTTGTACTCCTCAAAGATATTTCAATGATAACCCTAATGTAAGAGTATGATATAAACATTTATTGAGCACCTACTATTTGCCAAGTGTCTGTCTGAGAGAGAACTTCCCTTTTAGAAACCACCACAATCATCTAAGGCTTGCAGTGTGATGGTTGACAATGAATGTTCAGCAGATAGACTACTTCACAGGATTATTTTAATCAAGACTTGAAGACCATGAGGGGTGATCAAATGCTGTCTGCCAGACTCCTTCCAACTCTTAGTCTATCATTACCGCTGCCATTCTCCCCACTTTTACTAATGTGCCACTGGCCAACAGAACTGCTGCTATTTTTAAGGAGGCAAAATCTGTAAGAGCCAGCTCAGAACCATTCTGGAGAAAACTGTACCTGCTGGAAACAGCCCCTACGTCTCACTTCACCAAACCAAGGAGCCACCTCCTCTCACTCCTGAGTTCCAGGCCACTTGACGCCAACACGGTGCAGATTCCTGCTACAGGATAAAGTCCTACCAGCCTAGAAATGCAAGTTCCTTCAGTTAGCCAGTGACTGTTTCTTCTCTGAAAGTCCGTCACTTAAATATCCTCCAAGAAGGTTCTGTGGTCAGAATCCTCAGCCCGTGGCTGACGTGTGCCCAGGGACCGGACTGGCGAGAGCCGGAGTCCGCTCAGCCCACCACCCACCCTGCCCGCTCGCTCCGAGGTTGGGGAGGAAGCGACTGCGGGTCTGGAAACCTCTAGGGAAAGAAAGGGAGTTTCCTGTCCCAGTCCTAGATCGGGGCCCCTTTAGGGGATGGGGGTCCCTCCCGGACATGAGCTCCAGTGAATGCAGGAGAGGCGCGGGACCGAGAGAGCTGCCCGGCCGGCCCGGCCCGGCCTCGCCCGGTCTCCTCGGCGAGCTCCGGTGCCGGCGCCCGAGCCGCTGCGCTGCGCTGCGCTCCTCCCGGGAGGGCGCCCGGGGACCGGGTGGGCGCGGCGGCGGGGGACGGAGGAGGCGGGCGACTGGAAGCCTACCGTCTTCTGCTTCTTGACCCCCGACATGCTGGGCGGCTGCGGCGGAGCCCGGCTCCCGGGACACCACGGAGACGAAGGTGGCACGGATGGCGACGGCGGGGCGGCTGCTGCCGGGCTCCTGGGATGGAGGTATAAAAGGGCTCGCAGACACGTCGCACTTCCCTTGACCAGCCCCTTTCTCCTCCTCCTCCTCCTCCAGCGCTCTCCTCTCCGCCCCGTCCGCCCCGCGGGCAGCGCCCAGCCCCGGGGACCCAGGCCAGACCTGGCGGCCACGCAGCTCGCAGCGTCACGACACGCTACGCCTCCCCCGGCCTCCCCACCCCCAACCTCCGCCGCCCTCGATGCCGAGGGTCCCCAGCGCTCTCAGCCCCACCCCCGCACTACACGGAAGAAGCCTGCTGGGACCCAGAAGGTTGTTTGGTTAAGCGGGAGGATGCTCGTGGTCGCCACGCTTGCTGGCATGAACTCAGAGGACTCTGAAGCGCAGCTCATCCTCATATGCAGTACTGTGCTTAAAACGACCCAACATTTTCATGGGTCCTTACTGGGCACTCCTCCAGAGCTTTGTCTTCATTATCACGTGGCCCCTTTCAGGGCCCTGCCCCAGACAGCAAGTCCATTTTGCAGATAAGGCATTAGAGGCAGTCAAACTTCCTCAAGATTATATGCTAAGGGATTCAGACCAGGACTATCAGCCTCCACGGTGCAGACTTTGCACACCAGCGTCACCCAGCATTCTGATAAGGCAACTGTGAGGCTCCTGGTTTTCCACGCAGTATACACCAGGCAGCATGCCAAAAGGTTTATAGGCACTCACTGGTTTTTCAGCTGATGGTAATCTCATAGTATAGTCTGCCTGGAAGGTATCACACCTCTTCACCAAGTCAAGAAACCAAGGTCAGCCCCAAGCCATGGCCAATGGCAGCTCAGAGACTTGGTTAGTCCACCCAAATATTCTCCTACAGTAGTACAATAATTTTGTCAATTAGGATGGGTTTTACCAGAATGAGGCATCTCTCCAAAGAGACAAACAGAGGTAAGGCGCAACTATAGTGGCAACATCCTGGGACAGCCATTGGGTTTCATATCCTTCATTCCCTGCACAAACAGATCAGTGTGACAGCAGCCACATGAAAACCGAGAGGACATGAAAGGGCCACAGTTATTCCAACTCTGGTCTTCCTTCTGCGAAAGGGTTGGAGATCTCATATTCTGAGGATGTGAAGGATAGAATTTTTTTTTATACCTAATAGTATTTCTGGAAGACTGCCAGTTTCCAGACTGAAGATCTGAGTGTTCCATAGACTTCCCTTCTCCATGGGAAGGTGGAAAAGAAAAATAAATTAGGAGTCCAAAATCTTAAGTCAGCCTGAAGTCTGCAGTTCTGAAAGGGCAGACTTTTTACTTACTCATTTTGAATAAATTGCAATTGTTCCCTCATATGTAAGTAGCCAAGGGCCAAATAGTGCCTTTGTGTTCCATACACAAACTAGCACATTTTGAATTTATGTGACGTTTAAAGGGCAACATCCTGTTCTTTTCACTAGAAAAGAACTTACATTTGTTCCAGTCATACCTGGGCCTTGCCAAATCCTGCCCTAAAAGAAGGTAAATTAAGTACTGATTGAGAAATCGTGCAGTTTTCATGATGCATTTTCTTCATATTGTGTTTTAAAAACACAAAGCCATGTTCTTGAAACAGAAGGAAGTTAAGAGTAAATCTCTAAAGCTACTTCCTGGAAAAGAAATATATAATGGTTTAGTTCTGAGATAGGGTTTGATAACATTTGCCCAATTTCCATATCCCTGTAGCTTCCGCGTTAGCAAAGTAAAACCAGTGCTCAGGGAAAGGTGATTTGACTGTGATCAGTAGTTAGGACAGCCAGCTCCCCGGGCTCTCTCAACACTCTACTACTCAGCCGTTAGGTCACTATTCCAAGACCCATGATGATTATAGAACAGAATGTTCACTTTGTTTTAGATTTAATGTTTTTTTTACAAAATTTTTACTTTGGTACAGATTTTCTTCTTTTAGCTTGTCCAAAGATTTACAAGGTTGGAGATCTCAGTTTGGAAATTTTAGTTTCCTCAGATTCAAGCTGGGTTGTTCATGACCCTTAACATTAAAGATCATCAGTTTCATCATAATTCAGGATGGCAACTTACTAAAAAAAATTTTTTTTAAAAAGTTACTTCCCAGGAATTACAGGCATGCGTCACTGTGTTCAGCTAAGTTCTTTCTTCTTAAAGGCATTGTCTTGAATTCTTTTCTTACTACCCGCTGATAGAGTACTCCTGCTAACAATAGGAGCACCTAGAAGCTGAGTTCAAGGAGTCTATGATTCAGCACGTGGGAACATGGAAAGGAATGATGAAGGGGAAAGGAGGAGAGTTGAGTTTTAGTTTTGTTCCTCCAAATGTACACATTCTCAGTGTTTCATAACTTCGACAGGGCACTCTTTAGGACTGCCCTGTCGAACACTACGGACTACATTATACAACTTATAATCTTTGTTACTCACAACATTCACATGAGTGTTGGGTTTCCCACCTATTTTCTTTTCTTCTTTCCAGAAACTGGTTTGGCTTGAATAATTTAACAAGGTGGCGCTTACCAATTGGTCCTTTTGTTCTTTAGAAAAATTGGAATCAGTCAAGTCATCCAAGTAAATAGGGAGAACTATACAAAGAATGCCATTGTTGGTGAGAGATTTAGGTCACAGAGTCCCCCATGCATTTTGGGAGGATTCATGACTTTTTAGAGGAGCAACAAGGAGACACCACCCCTATGATTATTACAAAGGAATGCAACTATATTGTCCCCTAGTGGCTGAAAGTATAAATGACAGAAGAGACCTAATTGTTGAAGCCCCTTGTTTAAAAAAAAAAAAGTGCAGCATTCCTTTGGGTAAAGAAGCACTTTAAAAAGTTCTCTAGGATCCAAACATTCTTCCCAGGTACAAGCTCTACCAAAACAAGTAAGACATGGTTGCTACATTCAGGAAACTCACAGTCACTGAAGGAAACAGACTCTAGCCCATCATTTCAATATAATACTATGATTGGGACAGGTAAAAATGATACGTTTATACCTAAGACATTTTATTTTTACTTAAAACAAAGTAAAGTGTACACTTAAAAGGTATATATTTAACTAAGATTTTTGATATGGGGCTGAGGGCTTGTAACGTGTTATGGATTGCTGATAAGAGTTCATTATATATCTTAAACAATTTTCAGTTCCAAGTTTTATAAAGCGGAGTTAGAGGTTATAGGCACTTAAACAATCTGAGAAACAACAGTCTTGTCTTGTTTACAATTAATCTAACAGTACAGTTTTTGGCAGCTTATCTTTCCAATGTATTTCTCCATTTTCGTAGAAATCAACTCTTTTTACACACATATTATTCATTTAAATCACATCCAATTAAGACATCTACCACACTAACAAGTAACTGAAAAAGATAGTTGGAGAACAAATATAATAGATTTCTATAAACCTTCAGCTTAGGTACATAAGTGTGTGAACATCTCAGTGCACCCGACTATTGAACATTTAGTTTGTTGTGGATGTCAATCATTATCTTTTTCTAGAAGAAATGGAGAGTACAGACTCAACTGACCAGTCATTTACAAGAAAGGGTATTTTGGGAGCACAAAGGATGGACATCCAGTTCCACTTTGAGAGAATAAAGGGTGGAGATTGATGTCAGGGTTTTCTTGAAGAAAATAATGCATGAATTGAGACCTGAAAAACTGGTAGGGTTTTGGGAGCACTCTCCTTCTCCAAAGTATATGGTGTGAAATGTAAACATTTAAAGGCAAAGAGAGGCATGAAATAATATGGTATGATCAGAAAATTGTAAGTATCTATATTGCTGATTTCAGGAGATATATCAAAAGGGTAGGAAAGGCTGTAATTGCAGACAATCCCCAGTACCATCAGGCAGCAACATGATTTTGCATGTTCTCTTCTTCATGCCCATCGCAGAGTGTTAGGTATGTGGCTGGTTTTCACTGTAATTACGGAATTCGTTTCACATCCAAGGATAGAAGTCACTGTCCTGAGATGTCCATGGCCTGGTGTGAAATGGATATACACAGAAGTAATTCCGAGGAAATGTCTGAAGCGCTCAGTAAATGGATGTTTGGAGTCATAGGGAAAGTGCCAGAACAAAAACCAAGGGCAATGACTGCTGAACTATGATGAAATCCTCACATGGTTGATCTTTAACCTGAGTTTTCAAGGATAAAATTTAGTCACACAAGAGGATAAACTGTCACCCTGCCCACAATGGCTAAGGTTGCCTGGGCTGATGTCTCTGGGTATAGTCAGCGCTCACTTCCTACTCCAACACTACCATGTCCCCTTTCTCGAGTATCCCAGACTATCACTAGGACCTCGGTACAGTCCACAGACAAAGACCAGTAACAGCCAGACCTTATGCGGGTAGCGCTGACTCTGTCACCCAGTAAAGGCTGATAGGCAAGTCATTTTCTTCTGCCATTTCTTGGGCAGAAACTGGTATAAGTTTTTTACCTAGATTTTTGGGTAGGTTTATAAAGAAGTATAATTATAACATAAGTACACATTATCTAAAGTAGAAATAATTATGTATTTATGGAAATTCAGTCCACATTTCAACAAAGTTAAATTTACATTTTTTAAATGTCACATTATAACTAATTTAGAAGTTTAGTGACGTGACAGAAATGCTGTGTCACTTAGAAGTTTAAATCATTAGAAAAAAATCCCACTAAACTTGAATTATTAAATAAACTATAATATATTTAATTTATTAGAAAAATATCTAGCTTAAATTTTAAGTTTAAACTTGATTAGATTTTAAGAATTATATGTTGTTTGTTTGAGACAGGGCCTCACTTTATTGTTCAGGTTAGGTTTGAATTCACTATGTAGTCCAGGGATGGCCTCGAACTTGCAGTGATTCCCCTGCCTCAGCCTCCCAAGAGCTGGTGCTTACACCATAACCAGCTCAAGAATTATATTTTAAAAGAAGGAAAGAAGGAGGGAGGGAAAGAACTAAGGAAGAAGAGAAAAAAGGAAAACAGGAGGGAAATGAGGGAGAAGAGAGAAAAAGAAAGAAAGATGGAAATTGTAACATGTGACCTAGAACTGAGCAAATATCAAACATGACATTTGGAACAATTAGAGTCATAGTTAAACACCTGTTTCTTTGGGCCAGGGATATAGTGTAGCAGCACAAGTGCCTGCCTGGCAAACGCAAGGTCATGAGTTTTATTCCTAGTGCTCCCCCAAAAGAAATATTTCTTTAATTATGGGAAAACAGAAATTTTAAAATAGATATATTGTGCTTCATTTTGTAGTGTAACTGAGAAATGTGAAATAATAAATTTAATATTATGATTATTAGGGGATAATAGAAATACTATAAGCAGATGGTTAATTTGTACAGAACTAGAATGGACTGTGTTGAGCATAATTTAGTTTATCAGTGGGTTCTAAGCCTTCTGGAAGGATTTAT